TGCTAACCGCCCTTGTTGCATCAATCCCTTTTGCCTTGCCCAAGTCTCAATGTCAAGCGCATAATTTCGCAATTGTGGGTTTTGAGGTGTGCATGGTCCTCGCTTGTTCCAAAAAGGCTTTGCTTTGGGATTTGCACATTCAGCACCGTGCCTGACACACAAGATTTGTGGACACAGACAGGGGTTGCGGCGGACATGTTGTTTTTGGCACATGTGGTGGATGTTTGGTCCAACTTTTGCTACATAACTTGGGCAAGTCAAGTGACTTGAATTTCAGACCTTTCTTGTCATACAGATACCCAGAGGCAGCATAGTTGTGCCGACAAGTCTAACTCATCAACGGTAACGCGGCGTTGCCTACCATGCATCTCTGACTTTTGCCCTCCTTGATTTATAATTACCTTTGGGCTCACGACATGGGACTCGCGCACTTTTGCACTCATTGGCGGTGTGAAGTTGCCAGTTTGAGACACCACAGAGGCCAAAGCAATTCCACGGTTCGCTGCGTGAAAGGCCAGTGACGAGCTGCCTCATCGGCCAAAGGACCAAGGGGCATGGGATTTTACTGTGGCCCCCTTTCTCACCAAAGAAATGCTGTCCGTCGATGTCTGAGAGCAAGTGTGGCATTATTCATTTATGGTTCTTGTTGGTTATTTCCATAGTTTCCTTTGTGCACAAAGCGGTGTAAGATCTTAACGCAATGAATGCGAATGAAAGAAATTGAAGCAAACCTCTAACCTCTATGTTAATTTATTTTGATGAAGGATGGACCAGGTAACATTTGGATTTATCGTAGGCTTCTTAATGATCTAGAAATCTATGTGGGTGGGTCAGATCCCCGCGGCAGAATCAAAAGGAAGACCATCCAGTCATGGTTGAGTTCTGACCGCGCGGCGTTGCACGTACTGGTGTTTTCGCGACAGACATTGATGGTGGTTTTAGTGTGCATACATAACAGTTGTTACGGAAAGTGTTCTCCGTGATCACTTTCACTTGAAGCCTTCACTGTGCCTTTATCTAGATTTATTGTTTTGAACTGGCGCTGCCAAGTTGAAGGCACATCAATTAATCACAAGAGTTCAACCCTTCTGAAGATAACACTGTGATCATCTAATGCAATAAGTCAGTTGTGGCACAAGTCAGTGTATGTTCATCGATCGCATTCACGTGGACGTTTGGGTCGTTCTAGGGGTGTTTTCAATCCTATCACGTTCAACGTGATGCGCTGCCCGCCGCAGGATGCAAGTCGAATGGCGATGCCCTGAGTTGGCCAAGTGGGTTTGGTCGATGAGGAGGACGCCTTTTGGGAGTACTGACCATCAATGCGTTGGACCCGGGGAAACACACCGGATTTGCAGCCATTTTGGGGTGTTTGATTTTCCTGAGGTGTGAACCCATTGGTTACAGCCATGTTGATTGCTTCGTCATGTACAGAACATGCACCGCCGCAGAGGGGTCGTTGGCCATATTCTGTCGCTGGCCATATGCTGCTCCGCCGCAGAGCCTGACACTGATGCATCTTCTGCTGTTTGTGCCACATGGATTGTAGAGATTCAATGTGCACCCACAGATGCCTCCTTGATAAACAAAAATACATTGTTCTTGGAAGCTTGCAGAGCGTGCTAGGTCCGGGGCGAAACATGTTTTCCTTGGTCGACAAACCACTTGACGTCAATCACTCGTTGCCTCGTTTCTTTTTCGCCGCACCGACTAAGGCCCAAAGTAAGAGTGCGGTCCGGGCCACTCAGCCAGCCAGCGCGCTGGTCCGGTCCAGTTGGGCATGGGAGGCATGGCTAGGAGGGGAGTGGCCCTCGCAAAGCGCATAGGCTAGTGCAGGTCGCATTGGATATAATTGGATACTTTGGTGAATCATTGTGCAAACCTATGAGCAGCATGTTCAGGGTATTGCAGGTGCAATCCCATGGACCAGATTAGACGCGGGATCAGCTTAACTGATGCCGGATCGGTTTCGATATTAGTTGTATTGTTTTGTGCCATCCGTATTTTTTGGGGGGTAGTAGCACTGTATGAAACAAAAGGGCGTTGCAGTATCACTATATATGGGGCTCAAGATGGCTCAAGCGTGTTTGTGCAGCTGGCTTTGGCCACGAGCAACATGGCAAGGCCCTTGACTTGCGATCAGCTGTCCAATATGTATAGCACGGGCACTATGTGACATGGCAGATGTTTGTGGCAGCTATTTGCTGCTTTGCGTGGTGCATTCAGCTTTGTCCAAGTGCGATCGGTGGAACAACACTTGGCCGAGGGACGCTCGACATTTCTCGCCGACTAATGCCGACTATTAATCCTGTATCATTCGACATGCCGAAAGCACCCAGCAAACCTGGTGTTTGCGGGTTCCCAGCCATCCCTAGCCAAGGATGTTCCTGTTAAGTCCTAGGACCTTGGTGCGGATCTTGGGTGGATCTTCGCCCTGGACGCGGAGCGCCCAGTACTGTTGATCGATCGCTTGGTGTAGGTGGTGCTCCCACCCTTGGAGCAGAAGAGGAGGCCTTCCGAACCGGTCAACCATGGAGTTGCCAGGCCCAGAGTCGCGTTGAGGAGCTCGCTCCGGGTGAAGGATGGTAGTGTTGATGGTTGGTAGTTGGTAGCTACCATCGAACCAGTGGTGCTTCTTGCGTTGCCTGAAGTCTTCAATGATCGCCTATAGCGCAACGGGCCTGGATGTTTTCTGGCAGAAGTGGAGTGGGCGTGGGAATGGTTTCTTTTGAATTCAGTTCCAACCTTTGAAGACTTATATCTACGTGCAGCCCTTACGCATCCGGGAAGATGCTGATGCCATCCAACCGCACCGGGTCTGCCAGGGTCTCCTCTGGGAGCATCAGCATCGACAGTCCAGCCCAGAGATCGCTTTCTTTTTTTGTGGCAAACATCGAAGAGAACGACGACATCCATACAAATATGATATTATCATATTCAGGGATGTAGGTAGCTCAGTAGCTTGGGTGTGTCAGTAGAACCGAATCTGAGGTGCAAAGCTTCACACGAACCTTCTGGAGTCCAAGCATCCTTGCCGTGACAGATATAGATGCCGTAGATAGATAGACGAGAACAGGTAGATAGATAAATAGATAGATAGATAGATACTGCATAGTTATAGGCATCATTTACACATATAGTTGCATGTTTGACGCATCTTGAGTCGCTGAGGTCAAGACTCTTCTCCTTCCACTCAGTTGAGACCCCAGACCCGTGAAACATGTTACTGTGTTTTCTCGTTGTTTAGTGCTATTTTGAGTGCAGATTCTCAGGCAGCAAGGGATTCCATGCGTGATCATCGATCCAGAGAGCCACTATCCTCATGAACAATCATTTTTTGCGCGAGTCCTGCCTTCTTCTTTCCACTGCCTGTGTAGTTGCAACCGAACTGGATGATATGATCACATATTCATAGCCATGGTTTGACAGATGTCTTGAATGGCAACTCTCATCTCCACAACTCATAAAGCTACTAGAAACAAGTGCCACGCTAGTAGTAACAGGTGCCTTACTAGTAGTAACAGGAAGCTATTAGAATTATTTTCAGACAAAGACGCCCATCTTCAGGGAGAGCCCAGCCCCTGTGAGTCCGAACGTCCGGGCCACTCAGCACCCGCAGAGCCGTGCGGCACGCGTGGTCAGAGCCGTGCAGCCATTCGGGCGGTGGGCCATTTGGGCCGCTTGGGCCATGGTGGTGAGAGGGCCGGGTCCGGAAGCACCGTTCAAAGGGAACAAGTTGCTTTGCCATTGAACGCGTAGCAGCTTGGACGCGCAATGTGCACTATGCTCCTGGTGAAGGGACAAAGCTTTAGGCAGCCCGGAGTGAAAGCTGGGTGGTTGCATGAGGGTAAGACGGGTAAGATATATCCAGAGATTTAGAAGTCAGTCAGTATATAAATATAAAATATCTTCGCAGCTGTGCGCAACTGCTGGCGCAGGCCAAAGGTGCCTTACATGCAGTGTTTGGGACAGTTCCTGCTGGTTCAATCCAGATCTCCTGTATCGAAGCTGGCAGCAGCAAGCCCTTGGACATGTATTGTGCTTTACTCCGATTTACTCCTGTGAAACGGTTTCAACTTCATTGTCACAGTTTGGAAACGGTCATAGTTTAGAGGCGCCCCCCGTTTGCAGTTCTGAGGATGTATATCACGAGACTATACAAGTCGGCACTAGCCAAAGTGCTTGTCCAACTTCTCAGTGGACGCCGTTCCCAGCACCAGTGGTGAGCGCTTCAGGCACACTCGGGGAACTTCACTTCTGAGCCAGCTGTGGAAGGGCTTGTGCCACCGGAGGACGCGCATGGCAGTCGTTGGAGTTGAAAGAGGTTGAGCTCAAGTTGGTACGTAGGCTGTAGAGAGTTGGATCAAGCTATATGGACATTGTACAACTATGCTTTTGTATACAGAAGGAGTATATAGATATAATGTTTGTTCTGCTCCGATTTGCTCAGGTTGCGCATGTTCCAACTATTGGTTCATATTTTAGAGGGGCTTGACTTGATGAGATTCCTTGTATCATCGGGGCTTGACACAGACTGCTCAGAAAGTGTATGGAGGGAAAACACACTCGTGCACGACCTTACCAAAAAAAAGAACGATGCCAATGTTGGTTTGTGACGTCTAAGTCACCGCCAGCAACACCGCCTCATAAGAGAAGACAAGGGCTTGGCTTGTGGAGGGAGAGGCATAGATATTCCCAAGTCAAGTGCTGGCTTGTAGCGAAATGTTGCCTCGCGCATGAGGACAAACACTGATCGATCCACTCCCAAGATCAAAAAAGTAGCAGCTCCGAATTGGGGACAAGTCTTTCTTCTAAGGTGTCGTAATCCACCAGTGCAGCAGTATAGGTGTGGAAGGGGAAAACTGCTTGCTTAAGACTAATTAAGCCGCTTGCAAGAGCGAGGAATTGTGATTGAGGGACTCTGGGGGATGCCCAGTCAGGTCCTCCCCAGTCAGCTTTTCACATGGCTCGCACGTGGCTCGAGCGGCTCGACCGGCTCGATGCAGGACATTTGGATGCGTTGGCACTTCGATGGCACCGGCTTTAGCGCTTCGGAACTCTTGCGCGTGCGCCAGGTGCTTTCAGGGAACTCTTTGGGCTGGTTCATGGGGCATGGTGGGAGTCTTGAGGGTGATTCGGTGACTGGGATGGGAAATGACCAGTGTGAGGAGGGATATGATGGTGGTGCGCTAGGTTGTGCAATCCCATATCTAAGTCGGTTCAATGGTTCAACTTGCAGTTCCAGATGTTGCCATTTCTGCAATCAGGCATTTGCATTCTTGGAATATGTTCAAGACTCCTCGACAGTTCCAAACTATGGACATGGTATGGCTCAGTATTACTTTCAGGAGATGGAGAGTAATGATAATGTAAAGGACACCAAAGGTCATTGATGAAAAAGAACTAAGGACGCTACTAGGGGCTCCTGGCCTTACTACTAGGAACAAGAAGCTACTAGGGGCTCCTGGCATCGCTACTAGGAGCAAGGACGCTATAGACAAGAAATAGACCAAAGAGATGAGATTTGTCCTTTAACCTGACACTGCTGGGGTGCGGGAAGGTGCTTTTCATTGCTTTTCCCTGACCAGTGGAGGTTGGAGGGCCTCTTCCAGGTGTAGTCCCGTCCTAAACCCTTCACATCCTTTCATCCCACTCGGGTTTGGAGGATACAGCTTGACCATGCTTGACCCCGTTTCGATCTGAGCATATTGCCAAAACGTGAAATGAGCTTGAAATGGCCCAAGGAGGCTTTGGAAGGGGAGACGTGGCTGAGCCAAAAATAATGTTCCGAGTAGATTCAAGTCCTTCTTCAATCCCAATAAAGAACAGAGCGTACTTCTTTCTATCTGCTGCATGCAAGGTTTGATGATTTGCTTTGTTTACGATAAATACTTGGGACATATGAAAATCACATTTGCCAGGACACTTCAGCAGCTACCCCCACCCCCCGCCCCCAAAAAAAAAACATGTCCACAACCCACAACTCCTATCTCATTGCAATTTGTCTATGGAAGACGCCTGTATTTTGCACATGTGAGATAGGACTAGTGGCCCCAGAGTCCCAACTCATTTTGGGGCACTAGTCCTATCTCTTCTCAGCCTAGTATATATATTTTTGATATCATTAGATGGTTTACGATGGCTTCCGCAAGTGTTTCTCGTGTTCAACTCCCAGATTTGACAAAACCATTGGAAGTGGACAAATGGTAAAGAACAGCCAGGATTTGGAAGATCCGGAATCCAGACATGAGTTGCCAAAGCCATTCCATAGCCTTGTGCGGTTCTTTTTCACGGAAGCTGTGTGAGGTCATTTGAATATGGCAGTGTCTAGTTTGTTCGAGCTGTGGATGAATGGTAAATGGGACAATTGTGGCTGAATGGTCGGTCAATGGGACAATTCTGTCATTTGTTGGAGCAGGTGGGCTCTCTAACCTAACATGACATAGGTGACACATGAACATGTCCCGACACGTTGAGCAACTGTTTATTTGTTTGCACCCCATCCCTTTTCCATTTTGACCTGCAAAAATTTTTGCTGGAATGGGGATTGGCCTCGACAGAACCAGCCAGGCATTTGACCTCTTTAAATATTCCGATGTCTCGGAGATTAGCAGCGAGGTGGGCCCGGTGCTGGGTGGGGAGGTGGGGCCGTCATCCGCATGCATTGCTGATGAGCTCGATGGATTCCCGAATATTCCCGAACTTGAGGCTGAATCCTTCGAAGTGGCCGAGAGTTGTTTTCACAGTTGTGTTTTGGATCATGAGATCAGATTTGAGCCAAACTTGACGCAACGATTCAAAGGACTGCGAATAGAATGAACGGAATCAGCTAGCTCCCCAACAACCCAACCGCGGACATGCTGACAGCCAATCGAACACCGATAAAACATTGGCAGTGGCGATGAAACTCTTTCTTGGGGCGAGTTCCATGTTATGCCGTGGAATGCCATGAAGGCTTCGAAGCAGGCATGCAATTGTCTAAATTTATCATTGTTCATATATTAATTACTATATTGTGTTTAATTTACACCTGTAGAAACCACCACTTGAGATTTGAGCCAAGAGTCTTGAGGGGGGGCACATAACCCCGGGGATGTACCTCGTTGGCCAGAGTGAGATCATGCTTGACTTCCTTGAATTTCGCGGCGAAGGGAGTTTAGGGGCCAAGTCCAAGTCCTTTGTTTCGAGATGACTGTGGCCTTGGCTTCCTAGTATGCAGACAGATTGTAGAAGTCATCCCTAACCATTGAGCCGATGCCTCGCTCATGCTGCATTGGTGCCTTTCGACCGCAGCACTGCAGCACTTCATAGCGCCTGCGGGCGCGCGCCTACGGGCGTTATTGAGCAGCCCGTAGCTATAGCAGTCCTGATCAACAAACCGGCACTGTGAAGGTCCGCACCAACCAACAGCAAGTGGAGCAAACCGGAAAATAAGCTTTGCGGCCCCTGGTTTAAACTCGTGACTGTCAAGTGACTCTGCCTCAGATGGCCACTGCAGTTTTGTAAGCTTAATGGTTTGAGGGAACATTGGAGCAACATGGGGCAACTATGGTTTGCACATGTTTGTGCATAATTATATAGCTTGGATATATTGCCGTTTCAGGAAGGAAGACGCCCAGAATTGTTTTTCTTCTTGACCTAGACACTTTCAACCAGCTCCACAAGTCCTTCATCATTTTCGCTTTGAAGCCTTCGGAAGCCATGAAGAAGCAGCAAAAGGTGAAGGAGCCCTTCTCGGTGGAAGTTGTCAAGAAGGAGTCTGAAAGATCCTTTGCAGCGGGCCCGAAGGCTCGGAAAAATGGATTTCAATATACGCCCACCGCCAAGAGTCAGATCCATTTGAGGGCTGGGCTGGGCACATGGTAAGATTCCAGAGTTCATGCATTAGACTTTTTTGATAGCCGGCATCATTGGAGCTTCATGGAAGTCCCATCTAGCCTAGCCATCCGAACTGGCCAGCCCGCACTCTTGCTGGAAGAGGTAAGCATTCCATGCTTGCTGCATGTGTTTGCTACGACCTTGAAGCGGCTTCTACAAGTTCCTACTGTTCCACAAGGTTGGGCACGTCCATTCACATTTTCAGTACCAAGGCTAAGTTTCTCTCCTCAAAAACGGATCGATCCGCCGCTGTTCAAGTTCCACATTTTAGTTTTTGTATGCAGATCAGAGTTTATCCTGGCGGCTTTGCTAGGCTCCACTGAAGGGTCACGGGTCGCATGTTCGCCGTGTGAATTGGAAAGGTTGGGGCACCCGCCCATTGGGGGGCACAGGTTCTTTCGGGGTCCAATCCTTTCTTAAGCCCAAACTGCCAAGTCTCATTGCCAATAATTTTAGCTTGCCGGGCTTTTGGACATCCCAAATTAGAAGATTCGTGGACTCTATCTCCACACACCTTTGGTCGAGAAACGAGATGTCACGGGAACTTATGAATGCGGTCCATATGCCTTTACATGTGATTGGTGAGATCATCCCTGACACCAATCACCAGGCGGGTGGGGCCTGGTGTTGTTGTATTTTTCGTACAATGGACACTGGCTGCAGTGGCTGCTTGATTCATGTCCAACCAGTCAAGATGATCAAATCCTCTACTCAAAACAAGTTTTGTCCAACTTGACCTTGCAACTTTTGAAAGCATGTTTCACTGAGGGTGGGTTGGCCATGCTGAGATAAGTTTGACTTTCAGCTTGACCTCGCCAGGCGATCACAGACCATTTGAGGGCGAAAGATCCTGTGCTGGTTGCACTGAAGGCATCCAGAACGCTGCCTGTGTACTGGCGTGGTGTGACTGATTGAGGTTGATTGAGGGGTCGTTGAAGTGTGCCTAGCTTGGCGTTGGTGGTTCGGCGATTCTCATGTGAGATTGTATAAAGTAGAGGCACCCCGCGTCTTACAGTTTAAAACTTAAAGAGTAAGTACTGGATTTTAGACTTGCCGTACAACTTGAGACGTTGCTTAGAGGCTTAGAGTAGAGAGAACGCGAACCGGATATTCATTCGTTCCCTTGGCTGTGTGTTTGCTCTTGAGAGTTCATATATGTATCATATGTCTTTAGGTCTTCAGAACGATAACAAACGCAAGCAGCCCTGACAACATGTTGTGTTTGAAACCTCACTTGTGAGCACCCGTTTGCCTTCAGTCGGCACAGTAGCATTCTTGGAGTGAGAGTTGCCGAAAAGCGATCTTGAGTTTTGTAAATACTTTTGAATTAACCTGAATATTTACATTCATTCTACAAAGAGTGTACATTGCCCGAACCCTACAAAACGGTAAAAGTCCAGAGCAAAAACAATTATGAATTTTCTTGCGAATGGCGATTTCTCGTAGGGTTCTTACACATGCCATGTAATATCATGTAATTATATATATATACACACCTTTATAAGAGGGTACTGGTAGTTTTTGGAGGTCATTTGCTCATCGACTTTCACTGGGTGGGATTTGGGCCCTACCCCCAGTTGCCAATCGATTTGAAGACGAATCTGGCAAAGTCGGTAATTACTTTGGGGCAGGTGTTCGAGGTTGATGTTGGATCCTAACTAGTCAAGTGGGAGGGAATAACAACACCCTGAATAGTTCAATCTATGGGATATGTTTAATAAAATATCAAACCCCCTCTCTGAGTTAGCAGATATTTTTGGGTTAAATTCAACGCTTAACTTTTTAGGCTGGGAGGGGTTGTGTGTGAAAGCTTACTGCGGTTAAATTATGTTAAATTAAGAGATCAGCAGGTCGTTCTCATAGTTCTGAGGTTTTCGTATCTTCTGTTTGGACTGCAAACTGAGTATTCTGAAACTAGCAACGGGCTTGGACTGGAGCCACGGAAATGGAACTTCCACGGAGCAGATACAATCCCACACACATTTGTGGGGTAATATGTGTGAGGTCAACCCCCCCCCTGGATAAATTTATACAGGCGTACAGGTTGGACAATTGTTTGCAGGTTGATGGATGTGGGGGCACAGGCACAGACAACAAGCCTAGTAGGATCTAGTAGGTTTCACACCTCTAGGTTCAGGTGCAAATGATACAGTGCTTGTTTTGTTGGGCTTTAATGTTCCGGGAAAGGAACACTATGAACATTTGCTGTCTATGATTGCTCTTGCATGCTTTTGTAGGGGGCCCCCGGACATTTATTGTTAAACAATTATCTAACACATGGTGATATCCTGGATAACTGTTTTAAATCTATGTCCCAGGGTCTCAGTTAAACAAATGAATGATCCTGGGGGTGTTGAGGGGGGGTCCTTCTAAGATAACCCATGTAGTTCAATGGGAGGGAATACAAAGTTGCTTTCCTTCAAAAGATTCCCATCGTGGCATTTACTGCAGACCCTCCAGCCTTTGGCTTGCCACTCAGGCTCCACCCAAGCCGCATCATAGCTCACACGACTTCTGATGCCATATGCCAAACTTGGCCTGCAATTTCTCCAGGCACAATGAACATGATGTCTCCATGATAAGTGGTGCTGGGAGGCGCATGGCACACATAGATGCGCTGGTCACCAGCCCAACTCAGCTCATAACGCCAAACATGAACAGCACCTCGCGTGCGTGTAAGTGTCGAAGTGTCAGTGTTCAAGGGATTTTCCGGAAGAACCCTTCGCAATGCTTTCGGGAAGAATCGATCAGTTTTGGTGTACATTAAGAAATTGGACAGTTGATATCTCAAAAATGTTAAGTTCCCTAAGTTAGTTATAACTTGTTTTTGCATCATGTTCAATCATCTAGATAGTGAACTTAGAAATCTCTAACTTTTGACAACTAATTTGCAAGTGCCACATACTTGGGTTAGTTACAGAACTTCTAACCCCTTCCTAACTAAGTTGCCAACCACTTACAAGATACTTACAAGTTCCCTACCCAAAAAGGAACCACCAAGTAGGTAGTATGTAAAGCTGATTGTGGTCATTGAATCTTTCTGTTCTGGTTTTTGTTGTGATTTGGGACCTGGGACGCATGAGGGAAGACCGGGGAAGACCATATTCTGACAGCAGGACCATTTTGAGGCCATAAGCTAGCGAGATCTAGTGAGGCTACCTGAGTATTGCATGGTCTCGAAGACTTGGCCGACCAGCTTTGTGCAACGAACACTGTGAACCACATGTTGGGTTTTGACACTCACGGAACCAGATGCTCCGTATGCCATAGCCATTGCACGAGCGTCCAATTTTTGGAGGATTGATGCATTTGCACAACGTTTGCATGTTGTGGTGTCAAGGTGCCGGAAGTTCACAAGCTAACAGTGGCTGCTCAACTTGCTTGAGGGGCCAGCTCACCTTAGGTTCAGCGGCCCCGTGGGGCTACAGAGAGCGGCGCCAGGCTTCCACCCCGTTGGGCTCATGAGCGGTAAAAGCTGCGGGAACTATGCGCAGTTGGTTTTTTTTGCTAGCTTGCCTGTGCAAGAGTTGCCGTTGTCCCCACTTCCGGGGTGCCTTGGTCTGGAACGCACCTCGCCTGCTATCCCAGCTTTGGAATGATTTGCCGAGTTCCACGCCCGCCCCGGTGTTCATCGCATTGCGGCCTTTGAGTTTGGCACGGGCACGGCCCAGTGCACGTCCCCACTTGCGGAGTGAAGCGGTTGGCTTGCGGCTGTGAAACCTATTGTTTGTACAGGTCGA